AGCAGGCAGTAACATGAATTAAATATGCTATCAGACAGTACCTATGCAGTACCACCTAAGCTTCTGTTCATTGGGACATGGGACCCTTTGAACCGCAACGCAAGGACCCTTTGAACTCCTAACACACGACTCATTTAGCCTTGCTCAACTGGTCTCAACTGGTCTGTCTATTTCTTACACTAGATACCAGCCGATACCCCCCCCCCCCCCCCGCTCATAGAGACTGCGTATTACAGTTGATTATAGTTCCTGGGCTCCCTGTGGTAGTACCTGTTTTATATTTCTGCTAAATGGTTTATATATCAGGGCAAGTACCATCATGAACTGGCGCCTTGTTAGGATTTACTTATCAATAGCTGCAATAATTTTGCCCAGTACAATCTACCCATCCAGAATATTTAAATGGTGTTTTATATCACTCAGATTTAAATCATCAATATTATCTATTTCTGAATAAAGTTCGATAAACTCATCAAAATCCACATAGATATAGGAAAATAAACAAGAAAACCAGCTGGCGTGTAGAATATTTGACGACAGGATATAATTTTTTCTGTCCTAGTAATCAAAATAATGTTGCATCCTTGTTGGTAGCTGTGTCTGGTAATTCACATCTTTCATTGTCACCATATGCGTTTTTCTTAACTTGGAAGTGGTACTATACAATCCATTTACATGTTATGGTACTACACAAATAAACACCAACATATTCGAACAAAATGAAGCAACATTCCTTGGAAAAGTGTGCGTATTGAATATTTCATGATAATCTCCAGAAGAGCTGTATATAATTATGTATGTGTACTATGCTGTGATAGAGTGTGCCATGAAAACTAAATATACACAAATAATAATGTTGATTGGATAATTGGTTGGTTATCTTTACGACGCTTTCATTTTATTATGCGTGAAACAATACGTGTTCCAGTATCGTTAATTGAGGAAAATCAATCTGAGTAATTGATCTTCTGAGTTGTGCACGGGGTTGCTGGCGCCACACTAATGCAACAATCAGAGTTTGAAATACAGCAAATGCATACTAACGTGCCACAGGAATAAAACATGTATACTATGTGTGCCACGTTCAATGTCCATGCATGCACACACATGTGATTGATCACTTTTACTCTACGGGTACATTAGGGTACATCTGGGAAAATAATTTACATTGCATTTCATTCAACTATGTCGGTGCCATAGCCTAGAACATAACAGACGAGTTTGTTCACGTAGCATGGCGCCACTGCCCAAGGACATATAGTTATTCAAAGCTTGGCATAAAACCTTTGTTTCGCTTCAAGGAATATGGGAAATGAACTCAGGATATGAAGTGTCATTTTCTATCAACTTTTAAATGAACGTCAAGCTGTTGGTTATAATTATTTACACGTGTCACTCAAAATAAAAACTCTCTTCTGTAAAACAAACTACCGGTATATCCGATGCCAAACAAAATACCCAGATGTAGGTTCATGTCAATTGCTCATTGCGTTTGACGTACAATATTCAGATTTATACACCAACACAGACAAAAGAAAAACAAAATTTCAGGTTTGAAGTTAAAACAACGATGTCAATCCGTTACACTTTCAGTCTTGAACATAACTGCTCCTTAAATCAACATAATGTTCATTGGCGAATAAAAATAAGCTTGTGCAATCTCAATAGCGTAAAAACCAGACAACACAGCACTTATCTCCATGACGTTTATTTTATAACATAGTTGATAAATATTGTGTCATAATCATAACAGGCACACGAACTAAGTTTTAATTTTTTTTTCAAAACAATTATCACCATTATTTTATTAATGTAACTGAAATGCTATAATGTGTTGCCCACCCATCCTTCATGAATTTAGTAAAATAGCTTATCAACATTGGATACTAATACAACTTAATGTACAAACATAAGACAAAATAAGCAGTCCACATAAAAAGTGTTTATAGCAATACACGAGTGTAGGTTTAATTTGTATTCAAACCTAAGGCTGTAGAATATTAGCTGCGATAGTGTCTATCTCTTTCTCTGCACCTTTCTCTATCTTTGTATTTATCTTTCTCATTATTCCTTCCTCTATCTCTATCTCTGTCATAATATTTGTCCCTATCTCTGCTATTGTGTTTGTCTCTATGTCTGTCATGATGAGTACTCTTATCTCTCTGTTTCTCCCTATGATCATCTCGGTCCCTATATCGATGTCTCTCTTCATGTCGGTCACTGCTTCTTTTTCTTTGTTTGTCTCTGTGATGCACATCATCTTCCTCAGAATCACTTTTGTGTCTTCTGTCTTTATTGTTATCCTATATATAAAGTTAGTAGAGTTAATATTCACTGTATAAAGCATTGTGCACGTGCCTCATTAACTATATATAGAAATTATTAATTTTAAGATTCAAGAATGTAAAATAAACCTGTATCCATACTTAGATACATCTACTAAATGAAGTCAACCATATTCTCGAGGCTCACATCAGGCCGACAACTCTTAGAAAATTTTAGCTTTGCCTCACACATTATTTTAACAGACAATTCACCTTGTCCAATATGGCGATGCAAAAGAATCATTATTGTTTAAATTACCTCATGAAATTTTCTTTCAACTACAATTTCTTATCCATCAAAACGAGCAAAGAGAGTGCATGACACTTCCCCCAGAGTATAACAGTGATATGTTGTGTTGTATTCGTTATAGCATTGCTGAATAATTTAGTATATTCGCTAGAAGTGTCACATTCATATGCATGGATGCATATATCTTCATTGACATACATCACAAACATTTCATTCTAAGTAATGCTTAATGTACAGTGCCCAATTACCTTGTTCTTTCTGTAATGTCTTTCTTCACTTTCACCTCTCTCATGTTTTCTCTTCTTCTGTTTATGAGTAGACGTACTAGGTTCATGATAATCGTCTTCAAGTACGAGATCATATTGTCTAGAAAACATCTGTTAAGGAATCGTTTTTTTTCTTTTGTATGGAGAAAACAAAAGAGGTTGTGCTACCTAATAATAAAAAGGCGATGTTAAAACAAAAAGCTAAATAAATATAACTTATCTTGCACATGTCAAGGATCTAGCCTATTTTAAATGAAATGTTACTAACAGTTGTCAAATAGAAGAGTTGAAATACTGAGTGCAGTCATGCATACATATATTAGGCATCAGTAAACTAGCATGAAGACTCTTTAGTGTTATATGCCAAGAATTAACAACCATTCTAAACTAACAATATCAACCACAAACTAGTTGTTTCAACGTTCAGCATTTGGAAATGCAAAGTCATCTGTTGAACACAAATATATCGTTTTTTTCTCTTGATGTTGTCGAGAATTAAATAATTTGCAATAACTGATAATTTGTCAAAAGTACATCATTCTGTTTTTAAACAAATACTGTTAATAAAAATACTGTTTAGTCGTGAACAGTCATATGGGAATATCTAAGAATTTAATAAAAATCTAATTTTCACGTTCGCGATGATTCACACCCGCAAGTTATACAGTCATTTAAAATGATTTATCTTGAAAAGATTCAAATCAATCAAATTGCAACGAAAATGAATATAAGTAATACTAGGGGCCACATACGAACTAATAATATTCCAGTGTCGACCACGGTTGGCTTCATACACGACATTGTTAGGCGAGCTATTACGATCAAAGACTAATAATAAATTATAGGAAATAACTCGTTAAGCATCAAACTGGAAGCTATAGCTCTGAGGTGACATGCTGATAGTACAATGAGTCGTGGCAAATACAGTGCATGTTGACTAGAGTATTCACAGCAGGGATAGACCCATGCACATGTAATAAGTCACATAACTTGGGATTTGCGTGTAATTTGATTTGTGATAACCGTGTATAGTCAGTTGTCAACGTTTTTTTTTAATCACTTCAGCCAATATTGTTTTCGAATCTTGAGGGATCCGAACTCGATGACTAAAAATCAACAAGAACATGATATAACAAGGTTTGACGTCGCGATCAATTCAACTAATGCACTACGATAGACAAACAAATGACAGGTAGATAATGTTTGTGTTTTTTAAACAAAAAAACATCTTTTTTCAAACTATTCTATAAAATCCGATTAGCATTTGGTCATTAATAAATATACAAACAGGGAACGCATATCGTTAAACACGTAACCATGTCTTGGTATGACGCCCGTGTCTGTGCGCGGAAGATCATAAACGCCAAGACTTAAATTTCAATTTTTGTATTAGAGAAATTTACGCCGCCATCTTGAATAAGTGTCTGTTGTATTCATGTATTATATTTGCGAGAAAGCATAGGTAGCAACGAGAAGTTGTTGCAAATGTGCAGAATTCACGAGTAAAATTGGGAACTCCATCTGGCAAAAATGAACCTACAAAAAGTTAAACTAAATTAAAAACGTTGCCAAGTCAACCAAATGCTGTTAATTAATTCAGCTTAATTATTTAAACAAATACCTGCAAAGACTTATTTTATCATGTGCACTGAAATCATCTAACTTCAATATCAAGACACTTGTGCAGACACAACATACATATTTATGACCAAACATGAATGAAATGTCATTTTTCAATTGAGAAAAGATCTGAAGATTTACTTGCTTGCGTTGTAATAACCCATTAATGTTTTGTTTTCAACTGGTCGAATAAAGTTAAAATGATCAACTTTTATGTCCCAGTTAAAGCTATCTTTGGAATAGTTTTACATTGTTGCCATGGTGAATCGCTGGTGGTTGCATCATGCTTTTTATATAGTGCATTAATCGCTCAAACACAGAACTGTAAAACTTAAGAAGTGAAGTGGAGCACTTTAAGAATATTTATCAGCATGTCAAAAAAGTAAAACAAAATTGTTTGCTGCTAACATAGTAAAATTTATTCAAACAGTTTTTATTATGTATATGAATGCGTAAATCCGGGTCACGCACACGTTTTTTCTTCAATATTTCAAACAAAGGCTTATTTATTTATTTATTTATTTATTTATTTATTTATTTATTTATTTATTTATTTAAAAGAAAACGTTCCATTTTCATTTTTATTTTCGAGTTATAAATTTGACTTTCAAAGAATTTAGGATGAACAAGCCATGCATGGCACAGTCCCTGTTAGTTATCAAATTTAAGATATATAGTTATGTTTATAGTAATATAGCTGGAATATAACCATGTCAGGAATATGATTTTTTAACATTAAAATGATTGACATTTGTATCTGATCGTCAAACAAATACTTGTCCATATTGAGAGATATTGCTCTGGAACAACATTCAAAATCAGCCATTTTGAATACATGAACAAAATCCATCCATAAATGCAAGAAATGCTTGATATTCGAGGATTTCTTTAGCACAAAAATAGCACACTTTGAAAAGGATTGTCAAACCAATATATCCGTATATCCATGACATGATGTATAATGAATATTAAAAATTTGAACATAATTAGTCAAAACAAGTCAGACATATGGGTCTGGAAACCCATTCGTTAAAACAAAATGGCCGCCAGTCAGCCATTTTGAATCTGATCTGAAAAATAAAATGACGTGCATCAGGAACCCGTAATGTGTAATGTATGTACCAAGTTTGATTGAAATCCATCCATAAATGCCAGAAATGATATTTTTTAGTACAAAAATGAAAACCATTCGGCCATTTTGAATAGGATCGTCAAACCAATATATCTGTCTATGACATGATGTATAATGAATATTTAAAATTTGAACATAATCAGTCAAAACAAGTCGGAGATATGGCACGAGAACCACATTCATTAAAACAAAATTGCCGCCAGTTGGCCATTTTGAACGTTATCTGAAAAACAAAATTATTTGCATCAAGGTCCGATAATGTCTAATGTATATACCAAGTTTGAACAAAATCCATCTGTAAACAGCCAAGAAAATGGTTGATTTTTACGATTTTTTAACACAAAAATGGCCACCATTTGGCCATCTTGAATCAGATCGTAAAACAAAATGATGTTCATCAAGGTTCTATAATGTCTAATGTATATACCAAGTTTGAACAAAATCCATCTGTAAACAGCCAAGAAAATGGTTGATTTTTATGATTTTTTAACACAAAAATGGCCACCATTCGGCCATCTTGAATCAGATCGTAAAACAAAATGATGTTCATCAAGGTCCTATAATGTCCAACGTATATACAAGGTTTGAACAAAATCCATCTGTAAACAGCAGGGGAAATGCTCGATTTTGAAGATGTTTAGCACAAAAATGTTCGCCATTCGGCCATCTTGAATCAGATCATTAAACAAATTGACGTGCATATGTATGATATCATGTATGATGTATGTGTGAAGTTTGATTGTGATTGATACAGGCATATCTAAGATACAGATCCGGACGCATGCACAGACGCACACACGCACGCACACATGCACGCACACACGCACGCACGGACACACAGAGGTCAAAACAGAAGTCCCCGTTTTCGGACTGCGTTCGAACGGGGACTAAAAAGTAAACAATCAGTCACGATGTATAATAACATCCAA